ATCTCATATTTTCTAGAATGTTAAGATTAATCATCCCACAGGTGCTAAAGATGCATTTTTGATCTGTTTTACCATCTTAAGACAGATCATGAAAAACTCGTGCAACACGAGCCTATCTGCGAGCTTTTTCTTCAATAATGATGAGGCAGACGATTTTTTCCCCCTACTTGCAACGTTTCTTTTTCTTCAAGCAATCATCATTTTTTTTCGGTTTCTTTTTTTGGATGCATGGGGAAGGTGTAGGAATGATGGAAGAATAATGAGGGAGGGGAGAAGAAAAGCATAGTTAAGTGAGAGCATCCCGCCAAAACTTTTGAAAAACAAGTTCCTCCACAGAATAGCCATTATTGGATAGCTGCTGAAAACAAGGCCCCTTCCCTGCCTCAGTGCCCGCGCATCCATGGAATGGATGGGTTCTTTTTATGTATCATGCAAATGTACTTTTTCTGTAACGTCCCTCAACAGTACTACAGTAACTTAGCTCAAACAATGAGGTATACCTCACCAGAGGAGCAGGTTTTTTTTTGTTTCAACACACCCTCAAAAACACAGCATCTGTATATTATGCATATTTTGATTGCAATAGCGCAAGTTGTCAAAGTAAGGGTGGGAAGCTCATAGTGAGTACCAAACTTGCACGGGTGGCACGGAAAAACTTTGATAAATTGGTTAGACCATTCATACAGTTAACGACCTGACTGCTTCAAGTCTAGTGCAAAAACACATGATCGCACCAGCAAGCTTGGTACGTCCCAGCCTGGGTTTATAATTACGCTCAGTGGATACCAAATTTGTACGCGAGTGGCATGAAAAAACTTTGTCGGAGAAGAAGGGTGCCACATTTATTAAAGGCCCCCTCATGGCTCCCAATTCAGTTATGTCAATCCACATTTTGATAGCGGAAACGATTCACAAATGAAAGCTTTGTTGTGATGTTTTTCGGGAAAAAAGAAGTGCTGGATGAGCGGACGGTCCGTCCTGCTTCAAGTGAGCTTGAAAACCATCAACTTAGAAGGAAAATGTAAGAATTGGGTATGTTAGCTCCGAGCATTAAATAGCAAGAAAGAATCTAAATAAACAAAAATCCCTCTTTTGAGAAGAGAAATTAGCTAAAAATCACAGGTTAGTAAGAAAGCGAGAACCAAACGGAAGGGGGCGGGGGAGGGGGAAATTTTACCAGGCGTAAAATTTTTGACTCATACTGGTGAGAAAAAAATTGGCCGCCGGACACGCCATTGCAGAAAAGTTTAACAAAAAACAGCTGATCTGTAAAAAATTGAAAAAAAGATGCAAGCTCTTAGTCCAGTAGTCCTAATTCGGCTAAGGAAGGCCAACTTTTGCCAGTTTTCCTCACTTTTTTCCGAAAATTTTGCAAGGGGTAAAATTTGTGACTCATACTGGTGCGAAAAAATTGGCCACCAAACACGCCATTGCAACAGAGAAAAGCTTAACAAAAAAACAGAAAATTTTACTTTACAGAACTTTACAGAAAAAACTTTACAGAAAATTGGCTTCGAAGTATACCATACTGAACAAAAAAGGATGACCTAATAAAAAACAGCTGAGTTCCGAAAAATTAAAAACGAAAGATGCAAACTCTCGATCTGGAGGTCCTAATTCGGCTAAGGAACGCCAGCTTTTACCAGTTCCTCTCATTTTTTTGGGAGCGCTGTATGCTCCGCAATAAACAGCTCCAAGATCATAGAAACTTCAGCATATGTACACTGGAGCCATGTTGTATATTTAATGTACACAGTACATATACGGAAGCGATGTTGCCGTTAAGTTTGTCGGCATCTTATATAGAGGATGCAGTTGAACGTGTATAATACATGTATATAATAATATAATGTATTATTTTGAACCTATATATGATGGCAAATGGAGTTCAAAAGTCGCTTTTTGCTGAGATGCGTCACATGTTGAAGTGCAATAGCAGTAAAAAATGCCACCCATGTGGAGGGTGTCGTTGTTGAGTAAGCGAATGTCTCTATCCAGAAAACGGAGCTGGTATGTGTGATGGAGCTGAATCTGTGTGCTTTGCTCGTTCCTCTGTTTGCAAAAGGTGTACTTTTTTGGCGCGCTTGCTAGAAAATGAATAAATTAATTCTGGTTTACCAAAAAATATGTTGATGACGGCGATTTTGCGGGTGAAATGCTGCTCCTGCTGCTCTTACATTACTGGCTTTCTGCTGCTGCTGTTGCCAGTTGCGAATCAGGAATCCATCATTTTAACGGTTGATGCGCAAACATATTCGATGTGGCCCGAGAGGCAGAGCAGCTTTCAGCGGTCGGCCCAGGATCACTGCGCATGATCTGTAAGTCCACACTGGTAATCCGGAAATACGACACCGTTCTCTGACTACGAGCTGAAGGTGACATTTTTCAGTTTTGAGGGGATTTCGCGGAATTTCAACCAGCTCCGGACTTTTCTAGGGCGCCCATCTTGTTTTAGAAAATGTAACTTTAAATATTTAGTAAAGAAAAATAGTTGATAAGGATCTGTCAAAGAAATCAAGGGAGAAAACACTATTTTTTTGTTCGGCTAAAATCAACCAATTAGCAATTTTCTGAGTTGAGAAAATGCAAAATTTTTTAATATGTTACGCAGCGACAACGTTGTAGTAAATCATAAGCTTCTGATTCCCTATGGAAGTTCGCGAATGGCTTAGAGCAGAAACAAAATGAAAGGATTTACCCGTGTTTCTGGTGGACTTTGAGGTAGTTCCTGCGAGGAATTACAGTCCAGTTCGCAAAATTTAATCTAAACTTTCTCATTCTTTCAAATATTTTTTTTGTGTAACATTTTCCAGCATTTTTACAAAGAGCCCCACTCCATACATTTTTCCCGCTTTATCCTCATTTTTCACTTGAGCAAAATATCCGTATTGAATTTGTATGTAAACACCTTGCTCTTCTCCCTCGTTTTGTTTACTGTGAGTAAATTTTTCGCTTCTTTAAACAATTTAGCCCTTCGCATATTTGTATCCTGAAAAAATCCTAGCTTCC